AATACATTACTTTTTATTAAAGTATTGATTTAATTGTTTGTTTTAATCATTTTGTGTATAAAAATGCCACAAATCGTCACCAAATCTATCGAAAGATGATTTGCTATACATTTCACACATTTTCACACAAAATGATTGAAACAAACAATTAATACAACAATTAAATCAAAACTTCAATCAAAAGACATGTATTTATGATTCAAATGTCAAAACTCTTTGTGTTTACAAACGGTTGCCAACAAAACATCTGCTCTTCAGTCATGTGTTGTCCATAAATAATGTGATGAAATATAAAGCGAGTAATGAATTGAGTGATGAATAAATCTAGTTATTTATAAATTATTATAAGTATTGAAATTGCATCAAATATTTTACAAGAGTTATCTGTGCATGAGCATTTCTCCAAGAGGTATTTCCTACCGAGAGGTTACACTGTATTAAATTAAACCCCTTAAATTCTAAACAAGAATGTGATAGTCCTAGGTCTAATAGAATAGTTTATGCATGTCCAATTGACTGATCCAATCAATGATTAACAATTGAAATATTTAACAATACAAAGGCTTTTATTAGCTTTAAATATCAATACAAATACACAGAACTTAAATATGTTATAAATCAACTGATTATTAATATGAATAGTAATATATATTTTATATATAATAATAATAATAATATTTAATTACAATTTAATTGAATATATTGTTTGTAAAGTTGTGTTTAAAATGTAGAAAATATATCTCTATATGAAATGTTGTGAAATATTTAGTCAACAAATTATGTATTAGTTTTGCAATTGATTTGTAATAAAGTTTTGCCAAAAAATCTTTGCAAACATTGAATGAGAAAAACTGATGACAAGAATAAATGCATTGAATTTATGAGAGAAATGACAATAAAATACAATAAGAAATAAAATGCGAAACTTTTTTAATCGTGAAATAAATGGCAATATCTTAGGCGTCAATGAGTGGCAAAAATTAGTTTTGATAAAACAATTTCAATCATAAATTTTAAAAATAAAATAAAATGTATTTTTAGTGTAGAAATAAAATCCAAACATAAAAACTATGATATTTTGTGTCTGAAAGTGAAAACACAGTCTTATATATAATGTGGACATAAATTGAGAGCAAATGTCATTGAATTGAGCCGTAAATACAGACAAAGCAAACAAAACAATAAAAATCTCTAATAAACTATATTTTACATCAAATCAATAGGAAATTCATTATATGAGGGGACGGGTAGTCATCAAAACGGGTGGACAGGGAGTCTATACACTGAGATGTAGTGCTCCGATAGCGTTAGTAAGTATCCTGACGTGACGTTTGTCTCTAATGCCACACTTGTTAACAATGTCTGTCTCCCGAAGTTTGGACACCCGGTATAGGGTGTCAACACCCGACCCAACCAGACATCGCTCATACATGGGTAGACCCAGCGATACGAGCCATAGGTGTAGACTGTCATAGTTGGCCACATCGATGAGTGGGCCGACACACGAGTCGCCCAAATAGTCGTTGGGTACTCCCCGGCGACCCTTAGCCGAGAGGGCCCGCATGCGAGCCCTGTCCAGACCGTCGGCCACTTCGTAAGTGTCGCGTTGACACTCGTCGGCGTACCGTTGGATCAGCGCCGGTGGTATACCGCAAAAGCCCGCCTATAATAACAATGGGTTTAGTTTTTTGTGTGATTTATGTAAATATAGTTAAATTTAATTGACATTTAGTTTTATAAAAAGCTTATACTATTAGTTATTATGCGTTTAGTCTTAAGCTATAATTAAAATTATCTTATTTTTTGTGCTATTTATGTGAGAAATATATGATTATTGTTAACATTTTCTGATGAAAAATAACTACAAAATTTTATAATTACTATTTTGCGAAAATAATGTAAAATTTTGAGCACATATTGTAATAATCATATGAGAAAACAAACAAAAAAGTTAAAATGAAAATTAAAAAGTTTTTCATTATATTTCTTCGCAATTAGTATTTAAATGAGAAAATTATTTTTTCATTAAAACAAGAGATCAAAAGATCACCAAAAAAGGCACAAAATAGACAAAAATTAAAATCAAATGAATTGCTAATTGCATTACTCGATCAGAATAGGGCTCATCCGTCAGATCAATGGCCTCTGTCTTCAGCTTATAATCGATGGCGTCTTTCAATGTGTTTGAGCACAACTGTGTCGATAATGATGTGCTGTGCAGACCATCGC